TGCACCAATTACATGTTATGTACTTTTGTTGACTTGAATCTCATCCAGAACTTTAACCAATACAAAAATAAATTGTGTATGCTTTGCTTTTTAGTTAACCAGCGAGTAATCTCGCCTCGCCCTTGACAGAAGTTTCAAATAGAATAATCTAGCCTTTGTGTTCATTTTATGAAAACGAATTGCAACAGGCCTTTCAAAAGTTGCCTATGATGAGCACTTTCAAGATTTAACAAAGGTTGGCTTCTTATTATTTGCAAAAGTTTCTTACTTTATGCCTACAAACTGTTTGGTAGAAAATCTCAAACATAGTTCATAATTATTATCTTAGCATTAATTATTAACAAATCCCTCATTCTTTCTTTATATGAAAAGAAGTATTATAAAGTAACATCGCATGTGTTTGTAAAATATTTCAAAGTTACAAAGTAATTCACGACGAAGGCAAAATAAACATTAGAGTGTCATCAATATAAGTTTGCAAAAATGTAATTATGACTGTCCCAAACAATTCAATTTTTTAAAAGTAACTGACATAATCCATCTTCTATTTGAATAGATTACTTCTCACTTTTCAAATTTTTTAGTAACCCCTAGAGCAAATTGTTTGAGCTGGACTACATTTTTCATAGTCTTCTTTTCAACTCTCTAATGAAATATAAAGACAAAGCACGACTCTTCAATTTAGTCCCTTTTATTTCATTCTCAAATCATATGTAACCTTATTCAAAATGCTCAAGTCTACAGTCAAATCATATTGCCCAGCACATGAGACTAATATATATATATGGAAAAATTGATAGTAATAATCTCAACTATTGGTGGTCCGCTCATAATAATCCCAATTATCGATTATTTCAGAATAATCCCAACTTTAGGGACCTTCCGTCAATAATGGTCCGACGTAACCGGCTATAAATAAATTCATATAGTTTCTAAAGTGGATGAGAAGAGATATAACAAGTACTCTCTATAAATAATCCCAACTTTTAATTTTTACGCTTAATTTCTATTTGAAATTCACTTGTTATCTGGTCATGGATCATTATTGGCGGATGGTCCATATAGTTGGGATTATACAAAAATAATCAATAGTTGGGATTATTGTTAGCGGACCGGCAATTGTTGAGATTATTATTTTCAATTTTTCCTATATATATTTTTCAAAAACATTAATATTAATTTTGGCAAGTTCACCCTCCAGACTCTTAATGATTATTGTATGCCCATCAAAATCAGAGTAGAACGTCCTGTAGCACATTTTCATACTCAAAATTGTCTAGCAGAGTCACTAACTAAGCGACTTCAATTTATTGCAAGACAATTACTTATGATATGTAAACTCCCTATTTTTATTTAGGCACACAATATTGCATGCAACAACACTAATCCAATTAGTGTTTTTTTTTTAAAAAACACTAATTCAATTTGGAAGGGTCTCAAACAAATTTTTGAAATATAATGTGCTTTATGTATATACACAGTGCAATGTATTTCAATAGTTTATTTTACTAACTTCTAAATTAAACTTTAAGCTAAATTTTGATTTAGATAATCTATATGAGCATTTGATATGTTATGTTTATTAGATCATTGAAAGAAAAAAGAAGCATTGTGGCAAAAAGAAGCACTGTGATTGCTCGCGAGTCGCCACTTTCGAACCAAAATATTGAATCAGTCCATCCAGCTAATGTATTCACAACGAATATCAATTGATTCAGACCAATCTCTACCACTCGTAGGGTTCTCGCTCGACAATCCTTCACAGAGCCGGCCCTATGGCTAGTTGGGCCAGGCTTGTGCCTAGAGCCCTCCAAAATTTGGGGGGCCTAATAAAAAACCTATTAATATTATAATTAAAATTAATTTTTTAATACAATAATTGAAATTGGACATCTAATTAGGGAGTGTTTGCGATTGCTTGTTTTTTTTAAAAGTGATTTTTTAAAAAGATTATTGGAAAAGTGGTTTGAACTAAAAGTATGTAGTGTTTGGAAATATATGTGATATGAATTAAAATGTAAAAATTGGAGTGTTTGATAAAAAAACTGTTTTTTAATCTAATACTTGGATACAGATACGATAAAAAAAAATCTAATATTTGGATAAGGGGAAAATAATAAAAATACCTCAAACTTTGAAGGGGTGTGAGATGAGCATCCCAAACTTGCATATGTGATTTAAATACCCCAAAGTTTATGTAAAAAGTTATTTTTGCACCATTGTCATGTATTATTTCTTTCAAAAGTGTAAAGTTATGGGGTTAATTGCATAAATTAAAATAGCAAATTAAAAGAGTTGCAATTATATAGATTGCGGGTAACATTATTTATTTAGCAATGGAAGTTTAGAATGTTGATTGTGTCTTCATGAATTCTAAAATATTTTAAATTATGTAATTAACACCATAATTTACATTTTTTGAAAAAAATAATACTTGACTACGGTGTTAAAATCACTTTTTATACAAAGTTTGGGGTATTTAAATTACATATGCAAGTTTGGGGCGCTCATCTCACACCCCTTCAAAGTTTGGGGTATTTTTAATTATTTTTCCCTTTTGATAACAACAAAAATACCCTTGGAGTCTACCATCCCTTCAAAGACCCATCTCTACGGCCTGCTGCAAATTACAGAGCTTAAAACGCAACAGTCCAACAAAATCGGTGAGGTTTCTTTGCAAATAGACCTGCACAACCCTCAATTCGTGGCCGTCAGAGACATTGGCATAGCTTTGGGTTGAGATCACCGGTCGAGTTTCAACAGCTGCATAGCCCCTTCTTTAGTTCAGCATGCCCTTCTCTTGGCGGCTTCCCCAGGAGCTTTTCGCCGCCGCCGAAGCGTTGCACCGTCGTCGGAGCTTTTTGCCACAGAGGTCGGTGTGGAAGCTCTTCTCTAGCTCAGATGTGTCTATGGAAGGACATGGTAAATATGCAGGAAGAAGAGATGGGGGCACTTTTGGTTTAAACAAAGAGAGAATTCCCCAAACGGGGTAAAAGATAGGCAAAATACAAAATAGAGTAACTTTAGTGTTTGGATAAGTATATTCCTACCCAAGCCCCAAAACTTTCATCAATAATTAAAACATAAAAGGAATAACATTAATTTATGATAAAAATTTTAAAAAATGAAAAAACACAAGAATATATAAAATAAAACATACTTCATATTAAATCAAATTAATAAAAATAAAAAATTGTGAAAATAAAAAATATTAAATAAAAACTAAAAAAGTAAAATTAAAAAAAAAATAAAAAATTAAAAAAATGTAGGTGTATGCCGCCGCCTCAACGACCTCCCAGCACCACCAGCTCCGACCACCGAAAAAGATGCCAACTTTTTTCCGAAATGCCATCATGATGACAGTTTTTTTTAGAAAATTTGGCATTTTCAAAGAGTAAAACTGCCATTTTATGGCATTTTCAAAGAAAAATGATAGTTTTAACATAAAATGACATTTTTTTCTTCGTTCGGAGGTGACGTTGCTGGGTGGTGGCCGAGGTTGCGGGAAAGACCTGCAATATATTGTTTATATTTTTTAATGTGGTATATCTATTTTATTTATTTATTTATAAAGGTTTTTTTTTGTTTTTTTTTTTAATTTTTATTATTTCAATATATTTTTCCAAATATTTTAGATTTTTTTTATATTTTATTAGGATCAAATAAAAAATATTTAGAATTAACTAGGTTAGGATATTAAGGGTACAAAATTAATGTTTACTCCTATTGAAAGACGTTTTAAGTTTCACTCCTATTTTGTGCAACTATGTTTATGCTTACTCCTATATTGTGCAATTACTCTTAAACAAATAATGTAATTATTTGTTTACATCATTGCAGAGAATTAATTGCAGAGAAACCCTATGTTTAAAAAACCGACCCGACCCGGCCGGGTTGACTCGGAACCCGGTGACCCGGACAAAAAAACGGTTCGGTTTTTTCAAAACCCGGAAATGGTCAAAAACCGGAAAAACTCGGTTGACCCGGGAAAACCCGGTCAAGACCCGGACCCAAGAAACCCGAAAAAACCCGGTAAAACCCAGTTTTTGTGTGTTTTACCAAAAAAAAGTAATTTCTTTTTTATTTTTAATGCATTTTTTATACCAATAAAATTGCAATTTCAATACCTTAAAAAGTAAAACTACGTAATATATTAATATATTTATTTTAGAATAAACATCATGCCAAATTATAATATAGATGTACAATAAAAATAAAAATATCATTATATATTTTTATAAGATCAAAATATACATTGAAATATTATGAGAGTGTATTAAATGCTTAATAAGTAGTATTGTTAGTTGATTATTATGAATAATAACTAATTTTTATTATAATTTTATATATAATTATATGTTTACTATTATTATATAGACGTATAATCATTGACCGGTTTTCCGGCGTTGACCGGGTTGACCCACCGGGTCCGGGTTGACCCGTGACCCAGTCATGTGGCCGGGGTTTTTACAACGTAGGAGAAACCACGAAACAGTTAAAAGTAGTTAAAAGGGATAAGGGTCAGATAGGGCCTCGAACTTGAAAAAAAATGTCAAATAAGGTCATATTTAGGATGCTCTGTCTGGCCGACACCATTTGGGGTGCTTCCCGATGGAATTTTTTAATGAATTTTTTTGAGCATCTTCCTCATTAAGTCTAGTTTACCCATACCAAATTTTAGCTAAAAATTCAACTGGGAAGGCAGTCAAATGATTTTTTGAAGATAACTGTGAAGTTAAACAACGCAGTACGTTTCGGAAAATCATTTGACTACCTTCCCGGTTGAACTTTTAGCTGAAATTTGGTATGGATAAACTAGACTTAATGAGGAAGATGCTCAAAAAATTTCATCAAAAAATTCCATCGGGAACCGCCCCAAATGGTGTCGGCCAGACAGAGCATCCTAAATATGACCTTATTTGACATTTTTTTTCAAGTTCGAGACCCTATCTGACCCTTATCCCTAGTTAAAACCAAGAAGCAGTTAAAAGCATTAGAAGTTGACATTTGAACGCCAGAAGCAAATCGACTTCACAACCAGATTTTTGCGCTCCGCATTCGGCAGCTCCAGCAGTCCAGCCGCCAGCAATCGCTACCAGCATGACGAGCATCCGCCCTCAGCCCTCCATACCTTAGCCCTGATTTGGGGATTTCCGATTGGCGATTGCCTTGCACTCTTGCTCCGCCCGTCCTCCAATTTTCCGGACTCCGGTCTCTGCAGTCTGAGTTTCTAATTTCTAAATCCCTGATTCACTATCACTCTATCAGGTATGACCGTATGACTCAATTGTGTAAAATAATCTTTTCTTTAGACTTTACACTTTAGTAGTCTGTAGACTCTTTGTCTCTTTATTTAATTACGGAGTATTTTTTATAGCTTTCTAGTTTCTGCCTTAGTGCCTTTCTAGACTTAGTTTCATACTTTCGACTGCTAGTTTAGTAGTTAAGTAGTTTGCAGTAGTTTTTATTAGGGGATAAGGGTCAGTTTGGTACTCGAAATTGCAAAAAAGGGGTCAAATAAGTCCTTATATAGAAAATCCTGTCCGGACGTGCCATTTGATGTGGCTCCCGGTGGAATTTTTTGATGAAATTTTTTGAGCATCTTATTCACTAAGTCTAGTTTACTCATACCAAGTTTCAAATAAAAATTCAATCGGGAAGACATTCAAATGAATTCTTGAAGATAACTGTGCCGTTAAAAGCGCAGTTATCTTCAAGATTCATTTGAATGCCTTCCCGATTGAAGTTCTAGCTGAAATTTGGTATGAGTAAACTAGACTTAATGAATAAGATGCTCAAAAAATTTTATCAAAAAATTCTATTGGGAGTCACCTCAAATGGCACGTCCGGACAGAATCTTCTATATAAGGACTTATTTGACCCCTTTTTTGCAACTTCGAGAACCAAACTGACCCTTTACTCGTTTTTATTAGTAGTATTTAATAAAGAGCTAGTAAGTAGTGGACTAGTGGGGACTAGTTTGTGTTATTATCTATACTTCTATTTTCATAAATATGTTAAGCGTCAAATATGTAGGTATTGTCATTTGTCACGATGGGTAAGCAAAAATTTGGTTCCGGATCTACGAAAAGCAAAAATTTGGTTCCGGATCTACCTGTAAAAAATGAAATTTGAACCATTTTTTGTCGGTTCGGGATGTGAATTGAACTTTTTTTAATTCAGGGACTGAATTGAGCTTACACAACCGGTACAAGAGCTTATTTGACCCTTTAACCTTTATTTTACCCAATGGGTGCGGGCATTATAATTTTGCCCAATGGGTCATGGCTGGTCCAATTTATTGGTGTTTTGCTAAACTTTTGCTTAATTCATTTGTGTTGCAGATGTCTTTTTTTGCTTATTTTTTTTGTTGGTGTGGTAGTATGGTTTAATTCATTTGTGTTAATAGTAAGGATTTGTTGAGGAAAATTCTACTCCAACTTTAGGAAATACTACGTAACAATCACATTGAATCAGATTTTCTAAACCTCTCTAACTAAACAGTTCTCATATATTCAGTATTACTAGTTCAATCATCACCATTTCATAAATATTGTGTTTCACATGTTATTTTTTTTTTCACAGAGGGTCCTTTTATTGACTTAAGCAATCAATAGAAGAATTAGGTGAGCTATAAATTAAAATAACTGACTTCAGGGGAAGAAAAGAAGAAGCTGAATATACATGTATAAAAGCTGAATATCAGCTTATGCCGTTTTTGTTTATTGTGTTTGAAGATAAGATATATTCACTATTGTGTTCGCGTATAAGATGTCCTGCAAAAATAGTCTAACTTGTCCGTAGGAAAGATGTGCGCCCACATTCCGTGAGCCGCACAGCTCGGCTCAATGCCCGCAAAACGTTTTTACATGCTTAATACCTTTAAAGCTAAGACCATAAGTCCATGACGTCCTTCACTACTTGGGGTAAGAAGGAGAACTTTGCATAAGCTTTCATATATTGTTATTGTTATTAAATGATATTTGTAAGATGATATTAAAGGCTTTTCGCAGTACGCAGTAGTAAGTAGGCCAAAAGATTTAGGTAAACAATGATGAATGATCAAATAAAAGTATAAAACCTGACCCATGAATAAACCCAAAACCATATCATTTTTCTATTTCAGAAGCAATTCTAGTGTTCATCATTGAAGTCCGGGGATCAAAATTGATACAAATCTTTGAAGCAAGTGGTTTTCAAAGACATCTGTTTACATGTGGTGGGGGTGATTTTCATGTTTGTGAGTTCTCACCCCACATTTTGTCATTCAACTGCATGATAAATGCCATTACTAATAGAATGTTATCTTCTTAGATGGCCGTTTCTTGTGGTTGCCTTTCCAGGTCAAATTGTAAAAGGCTGACTAGTGATTATATGAAAATGATCTGCTCAAGGCATGTTTCTTGTCTGATATTGATTATTAACTTGATCCTCATTGGTCCAGCATGGACTCATCAGAGTAAGTAAGTACTCTCTCTTATGCATATCAAAGCTCATATATTTAAGAAATGAAATCTGAGTTGAAGAATGAGTTTCTTATTTTCTTGGATTTTGACAGATCTATTGCTATAAAGTACTGCAAAATAAGACAATTTTAAACTCAAATAGCTGTTTAGCCTTCACTTGTATACAGTACATTTGTTTTCTAAGTATTCCTTGAGTTTGAAGAAATCTCTAATTTGGTTAATGTAGAATCTTTTAGTTTTGGCAATGCACAACTATTAAAAAGTCAAGAAATCATATGTATTTATAAAAACTTGTTTTTTCTTAAAATTGCATTTATTTTTAACTTGTTTGTAACGTTTTTTTGGATGCATACATGAAAAGTTCAGCTTAGTTTGATGATATAGGACACTTTTTGGCATAAAATTTAGAATAAACTTTTGATCATGACTCTTTTTGGTACCAAGGGCGTATGGAGTAGTATTTATTCCGTACTACTTAGAAAGTGTGGCAGGACTTCAGTGTCATGTCATTAAATTGTATGTTGAAGTTGTTTTCTTGATAGCTTAGGTTACATTTCACCTCATGGGTTTTTAGGGGGAATTTGACTTTGCACGCCACTTTTTGGAGCATATTGGACTTTGTAACCCATTTTCAAAAAACTTTGACTTTGCACCTAATTCCCCTTAAATCCTTTGACTTTGCACCCCATTCAGAAATATTTCTTCACAAAATGTTATGTGTTGGGGTGCAAAATCAAAGTTTTTTCAAAATGGGGTGCAAAGTCCAATATCACCCAAAAAGTGGGGAACAAAGTCATATCCCCCCCTTTTTATTATATTAAATCGAGTTTGTAAATTGCTTGCTAAAGCTCATGATAATGAATTTACAGAAGTCTAACACAATTCAATTTTCATAGGCTTGAGACCAAATTCTTGAATGTTGGGGATGAACTTCATAAGGAAACTATTCCTCTACAGTCAGGATCTCGTCTCTACCATTTGCAGGGACTGAAGTCTCACACTTGGTATGAAGTGAAGATATCTTATCCTGCATCTGTATGTACGTCTTTCCTTATATTTTTCACTTTCCAATTTTCAATTCCTAATCTTTCAACACTAAATAAATTAGTATGTTGAATGGTTAACAGATGCCCGCTATTTTTTCCTTACAACTGAAGAGAGGTTGTTCAAAGTTTGAGTCAAATCAGGGAAGAAAGTTATTGAATACTGAAAAGTTAATTTTCAAGACCAGTAGCTTGGACTTGCTAAATAACCAGGCAAGTTCTCTAACAAAGTCTGATTCTCTCCGCCCAAAATTAAATGCTATTTATCCAAAAAACTGTCGAAGAACTATTTTGTTTCAGGAATCACTGAATGTTTATTTGTTACTCCATATTATTATTAAGAATCTTTCAAATTTCTCAAATTGACTTAGACCAAGTACTGCTTAAAATGTTGTGCTTTGAAAAGAAGAAAATGTGTTAATGCTAAGCTTAATTAAAAATAGGTTTCTTAGTATGTGAACACTTTTCTAAAATGTGAATATTTTGGCACACATAAGGTAATTCTTTCAGATGCATAAACATATATCATTTTAAATAAGAAGTTTTGTGCAGGATGCTATGTTTATTCTGGTAACTGTGGAGCCTGAAGGGTTTGTTGCAATACCTGGAGTGCAGGAAAGAAATTTCATCATGTTTAATATAGGTACATGAAAGTTAGATGCTTGACATATATGCCCGTATAGCCCCATTTTTAGATTCTTGAAAAAGTCACATGTTGCCAATTTTCTAGATTTCAGTGCTCTAGAAAAATCTCACGCTTTTGCATGTTCCTTTCACAATTTCCTTTCACAATTTCACTCTTTATGATATGCCTTAAGCCGACAATGTATTCCCTTTTCCCACTAACAAATATGTAGTATAAGTATATAATATTTTGGGATCAGGGCTCCTACCAATGGCATAGCAGGAGAGGAAATTGGGGTGGCCTGCATATCTATATCATTTTTATGTGTATCTTATATCTATGTTATGTGTATCTTATATCTATTTTATATATTATCTTTTTGTATCTTTTTATCATATACGATAGTATATCTTATTATCTTTCTTATCTTTCATTTCCTTTGGCTCCGATATCATGTATCAATTCATGTTAGACGACCCTAAAATCCTTTGGGAATAAGGCTTGGATGTTGTTGACTTGTTGTTGCATACAGATGTTTTTACATGTAAGATTAAAGGGCTTTACCAAAATTGGGGTGGGCCAGAGCACGGGTTGGCCCCCATTTGGCCACGCCCATGGGCCGTCCCACCACCTCCAGTCCCAGACTCCCACACACTATCTATTATGTTCCCGACTTGATCAGTGTGTTGGTATATAAATGTATGTTAACACTCCGTATGGGGGTAGGACCGTAGGACAGTAGCATTTGGTGTTTACAATTTGTCATACACGGAGTACAAAATTTGGCATATGGATTTGTTAATTGTTGTTTAGTGGATTGTGTTTACAAGTATTCGCAGTTCTCTAATGCAAGGTAAACTCCATTGCAGTGTGTGATGAACTATATTTGGGCATTCCACAGAAAGCGTGGTACGTTGTTGTGTTGGTAATACTGTGCTTGGTAGTCTCATTTGCCATCCCATCATTTCTTCCACCGCACCTTCTACCAAGGAACTCAAAGAAGAAATAAATATAGCCGTTGATCAAATTATTGTTTAGGATTGTCAAATAGGCTGTGTACTTCGCGGGTGATCGATTTGCTCGTGTCTTACTTTGTTTATTATTTCTGTTCAGTCTCTCACGCATAAGCAATTTTTACAATTTTTGCCTTATACTTTGTGACTTTGTGTAGTGGCAGATTATGTTCTGTGACTTGAAATGTTCTAAAAAACGTCATAGGTCTTGGTGGATGAGGCCTAAACCGGCTGATTAGACATGGTTAGAGGGTTCAATTCAAAACAAAAGCGCATGTACTCAAGAAATGTCTTGTGGAGACCAATGTTCGGATGTTCCGATTCCCATAGTGCATTAATGCTTGGGTGAAAATGGAAAAAGTATATTTAGTGGCGGGCCAAATAAATCAAAAGGATGGGTGTATGCCTGGGCTCGGGCCGGTTCGGGACCGGGCCGAGGCCCGACCGGGCCGGCGGTTCTGGAATGGGGGGCCCGGGACCGGCCCGGGTAATCACCGGGTCCAGTCCGGGCCTCGGGTATTTGTGTTTTTTTTCTCCTTTTCCTAGTTAACCCCCAACCCCCCCACCCCAAACCACCCCAAATGGCCCAAAATACCCAGTCCAACCAGAAAAGTAAAAAAAATTGAAAAAAAAAATTAAGAAGGCCCGGACCCGGGCCTGAACTGGCTGGGCCGGTTCAGGATTTGGGGGACCCGAGCCCGGACCGGAACACCCGCGGGTCGGGCCTACCCGAATTGGTCACTGACCAGGCCGGGCCAGGCCGGAACAGTGTTGGTTCGGGCCGGTTCCGGGTCAGGCCACCCGGCCCAAGTCCAGGCTTAGATGGGTGTATTTGCAACACTCCACTGGAGAAAGGAAAAAGTAATTTAAAAAAATTGAGGAGAGGAAAAACAATTGCTCCTCTGCGGTAAAGAAAAAGCATTCCTTGCACGCTGCTGTTTCAAATGGTCGCACGGGTCTCAAAATGGTCTTTGTGCTAGACGCTTTAAATTGCCAATTTTAGGTTTTATAAGTCCATATACTTATGCATTGGATAGTGCAATAAAATGTAAATTTGCTTAGGTGGGTTCCCAATTTACCTCCCCATTGGCATTTGGAAATGCCATGAGAACTGATGACATTTTGCATTATTTTTTAATATAATTACTTCGATGTCAGTATCAACATATTCAAACAATTTATTAATATCAGTAGTCAATTTTAATGTTAGCAAACGGTCCCTTTAAAAGCACAAAGAGTGCATCGATAGTTATTCTAAGAAAAACTTTTGAGTAGCATGCTAGCATCTATGTATGCTAAGTGCTAACCAGGAACAAAAAAATGTAGCCGACTAAATATACATCTTACTTTAAACTAAATTTTATATTTTTAGAATGAAGAGTATTTTTGTTTGAATCAAGAAATCGTACTTTGAGCCGATACAAGAAATCGTACTTTCTTATAAGTTATAAGTGGCAATACAAGTATACAACACATATGTTCAAACCAAATATAAACATTTTAGCCTTGTCAATAGTATATTATGAATCTATGATGCCAAATATAAGCATTTCCACCTTGTCAATAGGATAAATCCGGTAGATCAAAATCCTTGTTGGGTGTGTATTTCAGCTCAAGTCTCCGACTAAAACAACTCACACACACTCCAGGATGTTTAGCCACTCCACCTAGATTTAGCCTCTCACTCTCTTCTCACCTCTATAGCTCTCACTCACAAAGAGGAAACTATCACTCAAAGAGGACAAGGGAGGAAGAAGGATCACACTCTCACTTACTCACACAAAGGAGGAGAAAAAACTCTCTGACTATTACCTAGTGTATTTACACCACACTCACAGAAGAGGGGAGACTCACTTAGATATAATAGGATGCTGGCCACTTGACAACTCACAAGTATTCAAGATAAACAAGGGGACCCCAAGCACAAGACAATGAATAGTGCAGTAGGTGAGGGCAGGCCTATGGTCAACGATAAGTGAGGAACGGAACGGAATATGTGAAATAGGTAATGAACTGAGCTACTAGGGCAAACAGGAGTAGGGCTAAATTTGGGGTGCATGCCTTAACATAATACTCCCTCCGTCCCTTATTAAACTTCCAAATAGGTTTGGCACACAGTTTAAGATAATGAGTATTGTGTGGTGGAGAGTTGTGCAGAGAGAGAAATGTGTAAGAATTGTTGTGAAGCACAAATTATGGCCAAAAAGGGAAAGTGGGAGTTTTAATTGGGATGGACGAAAAAAGAAAGTTAGAAGTTTATTTAGGGACAGAGGGAGTATAAGTGAAGGGAAGGCCTTGGTAGGACAAATACCTACAACAATCCCTAGATAAAATGTACTTATTTCTCATCCCTAGATAGTACATACACATGCCTTGTTTTACCTCTTTACCACGAGTTAGAACTTTTGGTTGGCTTAATATATAAGGAAATCAGACTTCTATCTTTCCAACTCCAATTGAAAAAACAATCTCAAAAGGTTATATTCCACAAAAATATAATTTATAAACTGAGAAATTATCGTAGGTAATAAGTTATAATCCCCAAAGATATTTCAAATTCCTTGCAATCACAATTCCACATAATCAGAACATGTTTGGTTAAGAGGAACTTGACTGATTTCACTTGCTATGCTTGAAATTCAGTTTTACACTTGTTTGGTTAGATAATTATATTTCAATCACTATCTTAAAGGGCATCACACGGATCACCGACCTTTGTGTTAACTTCACTATGATCAATTGTAATCAGTGTGCTTTGTCCACCTGTTGGTGCTAGCCTTCTAATCCAGTCTTATTTTATTCCACTAAATATGAAATACTTCCTTTGATTTCAAGAAAATAAAATTAAATACAACGTAGCTACTTCTCTGTTATAAATATGGAAACTACTAAAAAGGAATAACATAATGGAAATACATAAGAGAAAATTACAGAGAAGAAAAAATATAGGACAAGAATCATAAATAAAATGACAGAAAATTGGCTATACAATCTATGGTGTAAGCAATCCAGAAAATTGGAGGTAAATGAGTTAGTACTATATCTGTTCACGCCACAACAAAGTGGAAGAAAAAATGGAAAACAAGGAAACAGATAACTCATCTGAGAACCACATTCAATTTGCTCTGCACTTGCTCTCTTACTTTCCACTGCATCCAAAAAATACACATACATTGCACGAAAATTTAGGAAACAAAAAATGGGGAATTGGTTGAGAGAATGGGCAATTGGGGGCCTGTGTGAACCTGCAATTCATTTATTTCTTCATCAGTGAGTGAACGCTCCATGGACCGGTATGCAATTCTATAGCAGTGACTCGTCATTCCTTTCTTATTCGTGAAGTTATCTATTAGACGAACCTGAAATTAGAATATGGGCCCGTGATGCGTTAGGTCTCAATTGTGAAATCCTACATAGCATTGTATTCTATTCCATACACCATACCACAACAAATCCAAAGCTTTGGTTCAATATGAGCTTTCATATTACCTCCATCCCATTGAACATTGACTACTTTGAATTCGGTGAGAAATAAGAAAAGTAAAAATTATCTGATTGATGTTTATGCACAGAAGAGAGAAATGAACGAAATCACAAATTAATTACTTTAATGAGAAAATGCCAAAGTTTTTGGGACAACCAAAAAAGAAAAGTTGGCAAAGTTCAATGGGACAAAGGGAGTATATTTTTTCACTCTTGGGCGTAGAAGGAATTCCTAAGATAAACCGTTCTTGATAACTGAATAGTAACCAATACAGGCATACTTGCATAAATTAAAGGATATAAGCATCAAAATAGTGTTGCCTTTTCATATAACTTTTACTTATCATGGATTAGGTGGATAGGACACATCACTGCTAGCTTTAATGTTTATCTAACAAACAACCCAAATGATGACTTCTAGTAAAGGTTTTCGTTGTTTTAGTTTAGGGTGATGATGATTTCGATTAATGATGAGGATGTTGTTGTTGTTGTTGTTGTTGTTTTAGTTTAGGGTGCTACTACAGCTGGTTCGAGAGCTTATCCCAACAATATACTCCCTCCATCCCTTAAAACTTTGTCATCTATGAATTTTTTGGTCAATTATTTTCAACTTTGACCAATAATATTTTTATAGGAAATTATTTATAATATAAAAATGATATAAAAAAATTCTTTGTTAAAAGTACTTTCATAAAAGTTAGATTTTATAACTTCCATATTATTATACTACCCCCGTTCTTAAATAAATGCAACACTTTGACTTTTACACTATTCACATGTTCTACTTTGACTACGTTTTATTTATTAATGTAATAATATTTTTTTATGAAAAAAATATAGTTAAACTTGTCTCATTGTAAATTTTCATAATCTATTTTTTTAAACTTTTTTACTAATACAAAATCATATATATTAATGGTCAAAGTTGTGTCTCGATAAGTGTGAAATGTTGACCGTTGCATTTATTTAAGAACGGAGGAAGTACTAACCAAAATCATGATCCAAACTTTACCACCATTCACTTGAAAAGTCAAAGATGCCGAAGTTTGAAGGGACATAGGTAGTAATATTGGATGTAAAATTCAACATAATAATGAATACATAAAATTGTCATTCTCTGCAATGTATAAAAGCATGGACATAAATTTAGCATACCTCCTCCACAAGATCCCCAGCAATTCCTCTAACAACTTCACAAAGGTTGTTTTCGGTGAATGAATCACTGATCCAGAAGCTCATGTCTTTGTAGCACGGAGGATACTGCAATGTCAAACACAGTTGCATGTGTTAATTCTTGAAGTACACAATAATAGTAAGGATTGAAACAACATGTATTAAAATGGTTTTTGAGAACACATATGTTTCAGCAACATATTTATATGCTATTCTTAATTAAAGGAGCACTGTAATTAAGAATGAAAAAGTAGGAAACTGATGCACTATAATTTTAACTCCTTAATATTTAATTGAAGAGAGAATTTAGAGGTTCACAGTTGAAAATTCTCTTTGTTGTTCTATACCGGTAAGGATTACTGATAGGGATAATGGAAATCAGCCCATTATTAATAATAGTGTTGACTATTTTGACCAGGTGTACTCGAGAAGGAGAAAGAAGAGTATTAAATAGCTACCTTTTGTATAAGGGGTTGGGGTATTACTATAAATAAGTAGCTATTGTAATAAGAGGTAGGCTGGTTTTGGCTTTTGTTGGGCTGGGACTTGGAGAGAGGCATCTCTTAAAACTGCCGGACACTTTTCTCTCTCTTGTCTGTTATACGTACTCCCATTACTGTTTCTCTCTCGTTTTTCTCCCTTGTTT